CAATAATAAATAAATAATAATAATTAACGGGTTATTGAAAAGTTCTGCAGCCCGAAGGCTGAAATGTACATTGGACATAAATGACTTATTACATACACTGACATTGGTGATTTAACAAAGCCTTCATAAGAGAATGGTAAAGGAACATACAGTGAACATACAGATTAATGTTGTATGTAGGTCACGTAGATCTTGTGTGCTGAGGTGTTGAACAGCAGACATAAGTGTAGTAACTCCCTCACAGATGATGTTATGAGGGCATCACGTGGTGTAGTAGTTCTCACAGATGGTGTTATGAGGGGCATCATGTGGTGTAGTAATCCCTCACAGATGATGTTATGAGGGCATCACGTGGTGTAGTAGTTCCTCACAGGTGGTGTTATGAGGGCTTGACGTGGTGTAGTAATTCCCTCACAGATGGTGTTATGAGGGGCTGTGTGATGCTGTAGCAACTCATTCACTGCTGTGTAGCATCATGGGGACACCACGTGGTCTGGTGTCACAATTTAGTGAGGAGGTGTGGTCCCAGGCCTCCCTATCGTGAACGGATTAACACATAGCTGGTATTCTTGAGTCTCACTGGCAGTTATCACTGTGTACCTGGGACCTCACTGTGTGAAGGTTAGCTTGTACGACTCAGCTGTTGCTGTTGAGTTGTTTTTCACTGACTTAAGCACTGTTCACCACTATTCAACACTGGTTCCATTCCTTTCCTAAATGAAATAGTAACTTCTGGCGAGAACTTGTTGATATTCCGGTGGGGTTCAGGGAGGGAGTTGGTATGGGCCAACATAACAGTTGACGTGGCTGCTGCCAGAGCAGCGCCAGGCTACGTCTTGACCCTTCGGTGTGTAGGCACACCCCTGAGGGCGACAATCCACACATCAGAGTGATACACTGGGAGCAAGAATTGTCACCCTAACACTTGTTTATGTATTTTTGGCAGAAATAACCACTATTTCTATGGTCGCACTGATGTAAGATTAGTTATATATACTCACTTGGTCGGTTGTCACTACATGAAGTGACCGTTACTTGTGGGAGGCGACCGCAAGGAACACTTGGCCCATTGGGGCGAGTCTCGATGCCACCGCCGCCAAAGTAGGCCTATCGACACTGACACTGGCACTGGCACCTGGCACCTGCACCAGCCGTCCCGCCAAGCACTCACAACTTGCTTGGTGATCGCCGGTGAACACACGGACTATTTGCGATTAATGCCGTAAGGGATGAGAAGAACCTTCGGTGACGATGCTTAGGGTGACATCCGATATTCACGGACACACGTGAAATACCCGCCCCCACACCCGAGTATGTCCTCCAAGAACACTTTAGATCAGGAAGGACACTCCACCCGCGCTGGCCGCCCACTACTACCAACACCAACAACAACAACTATTATGGTAATGGAAAATGATGATTCATGTAATTTTAAGAGAAAAATAGTAAAAATATTGACTGTAATGACAACAGCATCAAGTATTTAGCGATAACGACGAGTTGAACATTGAGCTGCCACACCCTCTTATATCTGCCGGGTACTACATAGTGTTGATGACGAGAACTAATCTACTGCCATAGTGTTGATGACGTGAACCAACCGACTGCCATAGTGGTGAACTAACCTGCTACCATAGTGTTAATAACGTCATCCAACCAGCTACCTTAGTGTTGATGACGTCATCCAACCAGCTACCATAGTGTTGATGACGTGAATTAACCTACTGCCATAGTGTTGATGACGTCAAATTATTTGCTACCATAGTGTTGATGACGTCAACCAGCCAGCTACCATGGTGTTGATGACGTCAACCAACCAGCTACCATAGTGTTGATGACGTCAACGAATCTGTCAGTGGTGCCCAACGAGAACCGCCGTGTGTGTGTGTGTGTGTGTTGGTCCTCAGGCGACACAAACACTGAGGTCTGAGCTAGTCCACTGACCAATAGGGCCTCAATCTAAGATGAGTTGTTGTTGTTATAATGTTTTTACTGCGCTTTAACAACAAAGGTCTTAAGTGTGTAACTAGATTAGTGATTAGTTTCAATTAACAGTTGCAACCTCGATCTAAGATGTGACTAACAGGCTGTCACCTGAAAGGCTCTCAGTCTAGTCCAAGGTCGACGAGCAGGTCGTCAGACTAACAAGTTCCTTTGTAAACAATTAACTGGTAAAATCTCGACTGTAAGCCTTATGAATTCATCCTCATAAAAGGAGTTAGTTAGAAGTCTCACTCTAGGACTGAGTCTAAGTCCTCAGATAAAAAGGACTAGTTGGATGTTGGACTAGCTGAAGAGAGCAATAAATGATCAGTAAGACTTACACTGTGTCTGAAGAGGTCCAACCAGAGAGAGAGAGAGAGAGAGAGAGAGAGAGAGAGAGAGAGAGAGAGAGAGAGAGAGAGAGAGAGAGAGAGAGAGAGAGAGAGAGAGAGAGAGAGCATCTTCCACGACAAAACGAGAGGGCGTATCCTTCAAAGTACTTATCTGAAGAAACATTAGCAAGTCCTTTTTCTGGGATATCTTGAAGGAGTGTTACATGGCAAAAGCAGAGTATACCAGTCTGGTAAACTTCTAGCAAGTCCACCAGCTGAAGAATCCTTCGGGCGTTTTTCACGACGGAAGGAGAAAGAGTATCCTTGGAAATCCTTTATCTGAAGAAGCGCTAGCTTGTCCTCTGTTGGAAAATCCTGGAGAAGTCGTGCACGAAAAAGAGAGAGAAAGAAAGCATGTCCTTAGAAATCCTTATCTGTAGAAATGCTAGCAAGTTGGAGAATCCTGGGGATGTTATCCTACGTAAGCCCCTGGGTGAGGGTTCCAGGACGTGGGGAGATGAAGACCAGAGGGCTGGTCAAGTGGGTCCTGATGACCTCTAGATACTGGGGAGCCGTGGAGGGATTTTTCGCATGTCTGTTTCACGAAAGAGGGAGGAACACACTGCCCTGTCTCACGGAGGAGGTGTGGAAAACACACTGCCCTGTCTTACTGTTTCTGTTGTTACTGCTGTATGATCTCAGGAGGATGGAGGAGCTGTACTACTACGACGCTGTTGCTTCTTATATTAGACCAACTACTACTACCACTACAACTACTACTACCACTACAACTACTACTACCACAACTAACTACTACCACCACCACAACTACTACTACCACCACCACCACAACTACTACTACCACCACCACACTTATTACTACCACCACACTACCACACAACTAATACTACAATTACCACTACCACCACCACAACTATCACCACCACCACCACCACAACTACTACTACCACCACCATTAACATTACTACCACCACCACCACCACAACTACTACTACCACCACCACAACTACTACTACCACCACCACAACTACTACTACCACCATCACAATACTACTACTACTACTACCACCACAACTACTACTACCACCACCACAACTACTACCACCACAACCACTAGTAACACCACAACTACACTTCTCCTTATATTACTATTACCATTGCTGTGACTGCTGTTACTACTCACACTACTACTACTACAACTACTGCTGCTACTTATATTACTACTATCACTGTTATTACTACTACCACAACTACTGATACTACAATTACACTACTACTGCTACAATGACTGCTACTACTACGTTCAGTCGAATAGTTTGTATGTTTAATGGGATGGTTGTGTGTTCAGTGGATGGTTGTGTGTTCAGTGGGATGGTTTTGTGTTTAATGGGATTGTTATGTGTTTAATGGGATGGTTATGTGTTTAATGGATGGTTGTGTGTTCAGTGGGATGCTTATGTGTTTAATGGGATGGTTATGTGTTTAGGGATGATTTTGTGTTTAATGGGATGTTTATGTGTTTAATGGGATGGTTATGTTTAATGGGATGGTTGTGTGTTCAGTGGGATGCTTATGTGTTTAGGGATGGTTATGTGTTTAATGGGATGGTTTTGTGTTTAATGGGATGCTTATGTGTTTAATGGGATGGTTATGTGTTTAATGGGATGGTTATGTGTTTAATGGGATGGTTGTGTGTTCAGTGGATGGTTGTCTGTTCAGTGGGATGGTTGTGTTTAATGGGATGGTTATGTGTTTAATGGATGGTTGTGTTCAGTGGGATGGTTGTGTGTTCAGTGGGATGGTTTTGTGTTTAATGGGATGGTTTTGTGTTTAATGGGATGGTTGTGTGTTCAGTGGATGGTTGTGTGTTCAGTGGGATGGTTGTGTGTTCAGTGGATGGTTTTGTGTTTAATGGGATTGTTATGTGATTAATGGGATGGTTATGTGTTTAATGGGATGGTTGTGTGTTCAGTGGATGCTTATGTGTTTAATGGGATGGTTATGTGTTTAATGGGATGGTTTTGTGTTTAATGATGCTATGTGTTTAATGGGATGGTTATGTGTTTAATGATGGTTGTGTGTTCAGTGATGGTTATGTGTTAATGGGATTATGTTTAATGGATGGTTTGTGTCAGATGTGTGTTCATGATGGTTTTGTGTTTAATGGGAATGTTTAATGGGATGGTGTTTAATGGATGGTTGTTCAATGGTTGTGAGATGTTTGTTTTAATGAGTTAGTGTTTAATGGATGTATGTGTTTAATGGATGGTTGTGTGTTCAGTGGATGGTTGTGTGTTCAGTGGGATGGTTTGTGTTTAATGGGATTGTTATGTGTTTAATGGGATGGTTATGTGTTTAATGGGATGGTTGTGTGTTCAGTGATGCTTATGTGTTTAATGGGATGGTTATGTGTTTAATGGGATGGTTTTTGTGTTTAATGGGATGCTTATGTGTTTAATGGGATGGTTATGTGTTTAATGGGATGGTTATGTGTTTAATGGGATGGTTGTGTGTTCAGTGGGATGCTTATGTGTTTAATGGATGGTTATGTGTTTAATGGGATGGTTTTGTTTAATGGGATGCTTATGTGTTTAATGGATCGTTATGTGTTTAATGGGATGGTTATGTGTTTAATGGGATGGTTGTGTGTTCAGTGGATGGTTGTGTGTTCAGTGGGATGGTTTTGTTTTAGGATGGTTATGTTTAATGGGATGGTTGTGTGTTCAGTGGGATGGTTGTGTGTTCAGTGGATGGTTTTGTGTTTAATGGATGTTTATGTGTTTAATGGATGGTTGTGTGCTTAATGGGATGGTTATGTGTTTAATGGGATGGTTGTGTGTTCAGTGGGATGGTTTTGCGTTTAATGGATGCTTATGTGTTTAATGGGAATGTAATGTGTTTAATGGATGGTTATGTGTTTAATGGGATGGTTATGTGTTTAATGGGATGGTTGTGTGTTCAGTGATGGTTTTGTGTTTAATGGGATGCTTATGTGTTTAATGGGATTGTTATGTGTTTAATGGGATGGTTATGTTTAATGGATTGTTTGTGTAGGGATGGTTGTGTGTTCAGTGGGATGCTTATGTGTTTAATGGGATGGTTTTGTGTTTAATGGGATGCTTATGTGTTTAATGGGATGGTTGTGTGTTCAGTGGAATGGTTGTGTTTAATGGGATGCTTATGTGTTTAATGGGATGGTTATGTGTTTAAGATTGTTGTTTAATGGGATGGTTATGTGTTTAATGATTTTATGTGTTTAATGGGATTGTTATGTGTTTAAAGGATGGTTTGTTAATGGATGTATGTGTTTAATGGGATTGTTATGTGTTTAATGATGGTTATGTGTTTAATGGGATTGTTATGTGTTTAATGATGGTTATGTGTTTAATGGGATGGTTATGTTTAATGGGATGTTGTATGTTCAGTGGAATGGTTGTATGTTTAGTGGGATGATTTTGTGTTTAATGGGATGGTTATGGTTTAGGACTATGTGGGTGAACACATAGGTCAATATGTCCCGAAATAGTACATGTATATACCTCATTTTGGACATGTAAGCTAAGCACCGCCCACATTGGCTCGTCTGAATATGTCATTGGCTGGATCAAGCAGGAGAGGGAGGTCACGGTTATGAGTCCATTTAATTATATCAATTGTCAATCGGGCAGACTGCAGGAGGGTCAGGAAGCTCTTTCTGTCCCCACGCTGTTCGATCACATACAAAAACTTAAGTGGGATTTCTGTTTTTTTTAAGAATAAGTAAACAATGATAAGATAAAACATTTATAAAGAGTAAATTAAAAAAATCAGCGTTATCAACACTCTTCAATAAAAAGATAGTAAATTTTAATCTTATTTTCAGTTATCTGACATTTCCTTCATATATTCCGGTCTGATTTTAACTTGAGTCAGAGTATGAGAATTCGAAAATACCTTTCAGTTGATCTCTCAAACTAAAGTTCAATTGATCTTTCGGGGTACCTAAAATTCAGTTGATCTCTCGGGTGCCTAAAGTTCAGTTGATTCTCTAGTGCCTGTGCCTAAAGTTCAATTGATCTCTCGGGGTGCCTAAAGTTCAGTTGATTCTCTGGCGCCTGTGCCCAAAGTTCAGTTGATCTCTCAGGGTCTAAAGTTCAGTTGATATCCCTAAGTGCCTAAAGTTCAGTTGATATCCAGGGTGCACAGAGAATGTAGTTAAACTAACCTAACTTTTCCTGACATAACCTAACCTAACCTTGTAGAGAAGAGGGGAGTGGAAAACCAGTTGGCAAGGTCATGCTGATTTACTTCTCTATAAATGTTAGTTTGACCACCCAACTGTAAACAACTTTCGTGTGTGTGTGTCCGTCCGTCCTACAAACTAGTACCTGACGTATTTTTCAGGGCATAACATAGCTCTCGTGTACAGTATATTAAATGTTACGTTATCAGTACACCGATAGCATTAGATAGGTTTAAAGCGTTACCGAAATATATAACGCGTGGCTGGTGTACAGGTAGAGGTACAATGGTTAACTCATCTCTCCTGTGCTTCGTGAGGAGGAGTTACAACAGAAGCCATACTGTTTATCCTTCACGCGACTCAAGTGGAACAGTGCACGAGTATAATACATCTTAAATAGACGCCTTTATCATACATAAAGGCGTGTTTCTTATCAAGTGGTTCAAGTGGACATTGTTTTATCATAGTGTTCTACTTTGGAGTGGTATCTTAGATCAGTAATTTATGGGGTATATTTATATTAGTGTACATCAGGGTCGCTTCATTACTTTATTTTAAGAGGTGTATATATTTCATCACAGTACTTAATCCTTCTAGTACTTCAGTGGATGATTATAAACGAGCTGTAACTAATCGCCAACGAATTTAATATAAACAAAAGTGTAAAAAGAGTCTTGACAGTTATAACCTATAGTGTTATTCTATCAACGCGATCTGTGCAGCATCCCCGAATGGGAGGTGAATTTGGTCAAATTCAATAGACGAAACACAAGTATTTGCCAATTACATTTTCCAAAATAGAAGATCTCCCACCAATCACACTTCAGGATGCAATCATTCTGCTAAGTTCTAAGATAGATATACCAGGCCTCACCATTTCGAATATGTCATGGAAGCGACACATCTATATAGTTGTTAATGTTGTACAGATGCTGTAGCTACTTCACTACTGAGCAGTTGCTTCAGGGTTCATAGGAGGGATTCGTTCTGACTGTCACACCAAAAAGGAGGGGGGTACACGTCCCACCAAGAAGGAGGAGTACACGTCCCACCCAAGAAGGAGGGTACACGTCCCACCAAGAAGGAAGGGGGTACACGTCCCACCGAAGAGGAAGTACACGTCCCACCAAGAAGGAAAGAGGCGGGGCTTACCTAAACCCTTGCTAATAATGTCATCAACGTCGGCAAGGTAAAACAAAAATAAAAATAATTCCCGCATCTTTACCTGATCGATCAATATGTCATCAAGTCACTGTGAATTTTTGGGTACGTGGTCTGTTGTAAGACGCTGAGACGC